CCCTTGTGATGGTGGGCAAAGGAGTAAATGCTGAGTATTATTATGCTTGGCCTCTCCAGGCTGCTCCCTAATGCTTTGTTTCTTGTTTTCATTGTAGGTGATGCTCTCTTTGTGGAAGGGCCACTAGATTTGAGGATAAATTCTTTCGAAGGGGGAGAGTATGATGGAAATCTAATCCCCAAGGATCCCTTTGGAAGAGGTAAGACCAAGAAGGGTGAAGGTTGATCTAAGGAGTCTCTATTGTAAATACATTGTATAGTTTGATTTCTTGTACCTTGTATATAGTAGATACTTGTATAGGTGTATTTTTGCCTTTGAATTTGAGAGAAACTTTATTTCCTTTTATTAGCTATTGTATATTGTTCCTAGGGAAGGTTACTTGGGCACTTTGACTCCATTTAACCTAATCTAGAAATACACTCTTTTCTTATTTTTCTAGTAGTAGGATTGGGAGTGGCATTAGCAAGCTAGAGAGTGTGACTAGCAAGCTAGAGAGTGTTACTAGCAATTGGACCAAGAGATGGACCTAGGCTAAATTTTACATATTAGACTCATTTTACTCCTGATTTTTCATAGATTTGATTTAGCTAGGTTCCATTCACATTGGATGAACCTAACTAAACCAAATCAACATTTTTCAAAACCTGTTGGAGTAAAATGAAGTCCATGAGCCGCCCACCTTGTCTTGTGTTCACATGGCCGGTTTTCTCTTAAGCTTAGAAGCTTGAAGCACAAGCTTCTCCTTAGCTTGCTTACCAAGCAAGCTAAGTGAGTAGCTTGCTCTCCAAGCCTCTAAACCATGGACGGTTAGCTAGACCTTACCATGGTTCCTAGAGAACCATGGTTAAGGCTAGCTTGCTCTCCAAGCTTCCTACTCCTATATACTTGTTTTCCTTTCATTGTAAGACACTTTTTGAGATATTGAGAATTATTTTCTAAAGATTACTCAGATTTCTCTCTTCTAAAAGTCCCTAAACCTCTTTGACATTCATCCAATTCTCTTATCCCTTCCCTAGAAAGTGTGGTGAGAATTGAAGAGACTTATCTCTTCATCAAGGAGTGGTGTCTCTTGGGAGAGTTCTCCACTAATCCGTGGTGGTTCTAAGGTCTCCTCCTCCATTGAAGACCTTAGGAAAGCTTAAGAAGAATCAAGGAGTCGAATATCTAGGGAGGAACTTGAAGAGGATTCAACATCAATCCGGATTCTCCACCAAGTTTCCATCATTATTCCTTAATAAATAACAATAATGTTTAGTGAAGTTTCATTGGGACAACGTAACACTTGAAATTACTATACATATGAACATCACATGGTACAAAAAAAACTAATGGACTTATGGTGACCTTTTTGACAAGTTGGATTGGAGAGGGAAATCAGAACAAGGTTCATACAAATCTTTTTCCAGGATTAGACTTGAAGATTTCATTGACATTTCTATGCCACAAGAAATTAGGGATAAGGGTTTGCCTCCTAAGCCTTACAAGGTATAAACTAATAAGCAGTTTAAAGGGATTATCATTTACAGAAACACTCTTTAACACATTAAGAAGAGAGCATGTGTTTTTAGGTGCAATTGAGCATCACAATAAGCAGACATGCGATATAAATTATTAAATATAGAAAAAGATGCAAAAGCACCCAGGATTTTAATTTGACTAAGTTTTAGTACAATGTAAAATTTTAAGTATACTTGAAATATAGCATCATTGTGCAATAGAAACATCTTGCATTAGCATGCTGATTTTAGAAACATGAAATAAGTTATACGTATACCGTCCTGATAACCAACGAAAGACAAAATAAACCCATTTATCAATCTCGACAAAAGTATAAAATAAATATACATTAATCCACCATTACAAATTTGGGGACAAAAATGATTTGAAACAGGTACTTGATCAAGTTTAAAAATAAGTTGAACTTGACAGAATGATCTACAACTGTAAAATTTATATATACACCCTAAGGATAAATATATTTCAAAACTCCTTTCTCTCCAACCCAAATGAAAAGTACAATGAACTCCAGTTACTATTTGTAAACTAAGAAAAAAACATCCAAAAGAAATAGTACCAAAATTCAAATGTAGGCAAATTATCCATTCTATTATATGTACTTAAGAAGGGGGAAGGGCATAATATTACGTACATAGAGATCTTTAACGATTCCAGTCAAGGATCTAGCAGAATCTAACTTGCAGGGAATCAGTAGAAAACATATCAACTCAGTATTCCCTCTTTCAAGCACGTAGTGACAACCTACTTCAATTGTAGAAGTTTCCCCCTCGCCTTCTGCAAATTACTATAGGATGGTTAACCAAGCTGTAAAGAAAATACAAACAATAGGGAAAAGGAAGCTGAACCAACAAGATATCTCACTCACATCCTAAATTCAATGAATGATGCAAGGGAATAAAAAGATCCTAGTTATTCAAAATAAAAAATCGTGAAACTTACTTTTACGTTTCGATAACTAGGTCAATACAAGTGTGTGTGACTTTCGATTTTGAAGAATAAGAGAGTAGAATGAGAGATGAAAGGAATCAAGTTAATACGAGTGTTTGTGACTTATGAATGTGAAGAAAAAACGAGTAGAATGAGAGATGAAAAAGAAATGAAACGTTGCTATTAGGATTGACTCAGAGAAATAGGTTCAAGATGGAGAACTTTGTACTCTTTTTTCTTTTTTGGTGCGGAAACGCAACATATAACATTTTAACCAAATTTTTTTTAAGAATAAAAAAATAGATTTTAAGTAAAATCAATAATTATTGTTTAAAATTAGTAATTAAGTAAATAATAGTAAAATCTATTATTAAAAATATTTAAAATATTGGATAAATTAGTAATATTTAGTGTTAAAAAGTCAAAAGAAAATATATAATTTAAATAAAAATAATAATATTAATGATTAAAATTATTACTAAAAAATATAATTCAAGTTAATTAGTAACAATTTTTTACAAAAATATATAATTAAAAAAAATTAGTAACATTTTATTACATATTAGCAAATAAATATTAATAAATGTGATATATATAATAATAAATTACAAATCAAATATATAAAATTTCTTTAATATCTAAGATTTTTAATCATTAATTTTTGTCGGATTTAGATACTAATAAATAAAGAAATTTAAATCCAAACTTGACGGTAAAACTAAGCCTGAGCACGGGGCGGGTTCGAACGGACTCGGGTTGAAAATATTAAGTCCAATCCAAACCGATCCAAAAAAAAAAATGGTCCATTTTCGACCGTGAACAGTGTTTCGGGTTTGTCGGGTTCGTGTTTTCGGGTCTCGGGTTAATTGGATGGGTTAATCGGGTTGGGCCATATTGGGTCACACAGTGTCAATGATACGCAACAGAATAAAGAAAAGGAAACCAGCAAGATTCCGAGCTATACCTATCAGCTGAAAACCGTGAGGAGAAGTGCTTCACAGAAGGAATAACTCCAGAGAGATTATTATAAGACAAATTTCTAAAACACAAACAAGATACAGGCTCATAAAAAGTTTGGTGGAAGCAAGGGAGAGGGGGTACAGATGTAAAAGGAACAAGCTGGCTATCAGTCATACTCACAACGAGGTAAGACTAAAACAATTTTCCAGCTGATCAGGAATCTTCCCACGCACAAGGTTTCGCGAGCAACGGCGCTTAGGGTTTAGGTTTTCTCTCATCTCGCGATCTGATACCTTTAAAAGAATAAATATCACACATTTTAAGTGTTTTGGGTCGGTCGGGTATGGATATTTACGGGTTCAAATTTTTAATCCGAACCCGACCACCAAAACCCATAACAAACCGACTTTACCAACCCCAAAACCCAAAAAAATCGCAATAAACCAGCCGCACTAAGAAACTTACCTGCGGGCACTTCGAATTCGGTCGGGGCCGAAATTTCTGCTCAGGCCTAGGTAAAACCCATTAAAATTCAATCTTTAAAATCTAAAAGTCTGAACACTCAAATCAGCGAATTTTTTACTGGAATAATATTTTTTTAAAAAAAAATTACAAGAATGATCACTGTGCAGGATTATTTACCAAGATAGAACCATTTACTATTCAAGCTCAGAATTCGGTTCCCCGGGAACCGAATTCTGAGCATCAAAATGTAATTTTTTTTGTTTTTTCAACTCAGAATTCGGTTCCCGGGGAACCGAATTCTGAGTTGGTTTTAAATTATTTTTTTTTTTTTCGTGTATGGGGGCAAATGTGGGCTGATCTGGGAAGCGGAACGGCCCGTTCCAAAAGCAGAACGGGCCGTTCTGCTTAAAAAAACAGAGTGCAAATTCTGAATGTGAAACGGCCCGTTCCAAAAGCAGAACGGCCCGTTCTGCTTAAAGAATTTGCACTCTGTTTCTTTAAGCAGAACGGCCCGTTCTGCTTTTGGAACGGGCCGTTCCGCTTCCCAGATCAGCCCACATTTGCCCCATACACGAAAAAAAAAAAAATATAAAACCAACTCAGAATTCGGTTCCCCGGGAACCGAATTCTGAGTTGAAAAAACAAAAAAAAATTACATTTTGATGCTCAGAATTCGGTTCCCCGGGAACCGAATTCTGAGCTTGAACAGTAAATGGTTCTATCTTGGTAAATAATCCTGCACAGTGATCATTCTTGTAAATTTTTTTAAAAAAAATATTATTTCAGAAAAAAATTCCAAATCAGCATGTCCGCAGCTGAACTGAACACTCAAATCATCATGTGTGCAGTCCATCTTCAAAAGCGGGGGTTGCTTTGGCGTCTCGCAATTTTTTTATCTCGCCTAGAGAGAAGTACAAAAAGGACAAACATTTTGTTGTTTCCAAAAAAAATAAAGTACAAACCATGATTGCGGACACAGACAGAAGTAGCAGTTGACATTAAATAGAAAAAAAATCCTTTCACATTCGCTCATTGCAGCCAGTTCTCGAATAAAGCGGTGCCTATTCATATTCCCTCAATTAATTAACGTGTGTGGTACTGGCAAACTAGGAGAGACATGAATCATGATTCTAATTTCATTCTCCCGAAGCATAAAACACGGTAAGTTACAAAATCCTATTGCTAATAGTTTAAAATCAGAGAAATGCGATGGTTTTGGGAGGGGAAATAAGGCCACGTTAGGAAGTGCAACTCTGCTATTTTCAAAGATATGAAATTAGAAAAGAAAGTGTGAGTGACGTTTACATATACTCTCGAATCTTAAAAAAATGTGTCTCAGATTATATTAAGAAACAAGCTCGTCCTCTTTCTCTTCCCAGTTCTCACTTGAGAAAACTCTAAAACCCTCAGTCTCCACCCATGGCACCGAAACAAAACAAGAAGCGTCTCTTCTCTACGGAAGAACCATCCACAGCGACAGCCACAGCCACCGAAGCACCAGCGGCACAAGAGTGTTGTTCTCCCAAAGTGAAGGCCAAGCGGGTGACGAAGAAGAAGGCAAGCAGCGACGAAGAGACGGAGGAGGACAGGATAAAGGCCCCGGATGGGCAGTCGAAGCTGTTCCAGAGGATCTGGAGCGAGGAAGACGAGGTCTTGATTCTGAAGGGCATGGCCGAGTTCATCTCAAGCACCGGCAACGACCCTTACAAGCACGCAGACTCCTTCCACGATTCCATCAAGAACATGCTCCACGTGGCAGCCTCCATCAACCAGCTCAAGGAGAAGATCCGCCGCTTGAAGAAGAAGTTCGAGGCTAATTCTCGCCGAGGGAAGAACGGCGACGACCCCCACTTCTCCAAACCTCACGACTCCACGATGTTTCACTTGTCCAAGATGGTCTGGGCTGTGAAGCCCAGGCCCAGTGAGAAACAATTGGTGACGGTGAAGTCTCTTATGGGTAATGACCTAGATTCGCTTTACCTCGAAATAGCTGGTATGAAGGAACTGGGTGAGGATGAGATGAAGAAGGGTTTGGCATTGATTGGAGAGTCCAAGAGGAAAGAGTTGGAGGGAAGGTGGAGCCAACTGCGTCTTGCTCAGCTTCAGCTTGTTTCAGATCGTTCCCAACTCACCGGGGAGATCGTTAAGCTGATACATGAAGCGCTTCACTGAAGCTGCGTTTGCCCTTGCTCCTTTTTTGCTATCATTTTGTGATTAACAGCACATGGTCTATAGCTCATATAATTGTTGACTGTCCTTTAACAACTTTGTTGGCCACTGTTGTCTACCATGTTTTGCGGATCATGCTAGTTTTGGGTAGTTTATTTGGAATTGGAGATCCTGTAGTAGAATAATCCATTGTGTTTTCTTGTCTACTTATGCAAGTGATTGAGTTTTGGGTACCATGTTTTGCTGGTCATGCTAATTTTGTGACTATGTTATAATGCTCTTTTTACTTGGTTATTGGCATTGTGAAAATGTTCTTATTAAGAATTTCAATTTCGAGTTTTGCTGATCATGCTAAGTTTGTGACTATGTTATAATGGGATCAAAATCTTCTGTTTCCGGATCAAAATCTTCTGTTTCTGATGCCTGTCCCTGTATCCTGTCTCTTCAATCACAAAATGCCATCTCAATTAAATTGTCACATCATTATTTTTAATTTTAAAAAAACGTAATTGACGCACGGTGGGAAGGGAGCTGAGGAATGAAGAGGTTGGGTGTGGGAAGGAGTAGAAGAAGAGACATTGGGCGGCTGGGAAGCGGAGCCATAAGAGGTCGAAGAAGGTAAGCGTCAGAGAGGTTGGAGCCACGGTGGTGGAAGGGGTTGTTTTTGGTACCTGAAGCGGTGCAACTGAACAAACTTGGATGATTTTGAATGGTGCTGCTGATGGTTGCGTCATCATGGTTCCAAAGGAATGGAGGAGAAGCAGCTCCTCTGCCTCGGCACAGTAGCCTTCTTCCTCCTCCACCGCTGCCGCCGCGCTCCCTCCACCGCCACTCACGACAAGGCTTCCGGATCGGACAGCCTCCGCCTCTTCCCGCCCTCCGACGCTGCCGAAGCAAAACCCCCCGACCCGGAAGCAGAGGCTGTCCGATTTGGAAGCCTTGTCGTGGGCGGCAGCGGAGAGAGCGCGTCGACAGTAATGAAGGAGGAAGAAGGTTGCATATGTAAAGAAAAAATTATAAAAATAAAAATAAAAAATAAATATAATGACGTGGCACTTTATGATTGGAGGGTGTTCATGCGTAAGAACACTCCACTCCTTGCTCCTTCTTAGCTGCCTCCAAGTCTTGCTGAATCTTCCGTGCCGACCGAACACTAGCTCCGAGTGGTGGGGAAGGATACCTGAAAAGGCACTCCGACGATCAAGTCAGTACTCGGTTCAGAGCAATAAATGCGTTAGCGGGAATAGTAGCGTACCTCATTTATGTCACATCACCTGTATATTTATAGTGACATATGTGGGCCTGATGGGCCTTCAACCTTGAGAGATGGGTAATATCTGACTTAACCTTAATCCTGTCTTAATCTGGCATGGTAATTAATGCATAGTAGGCATTTGGCTAGCCACGTGTTTTAGGTGAATTCCCTTCTTGTCAGGTCCTTCGGTCGAGCCTGAAGCCGACGAGGTATTCGGCCTGGCCTGAGGCCGAAAGGGAGTTCGGCCTGGTTAGGGGCCGAGTGAGTGTTCGGTTTGGCCCATGGCCGAGATGGTGTCCGGCCTGGTCCATGGCCGAGAGGGTGTTCGGTCTGGTCCATGGCCGAGAGGGTGTTCGGTCTGGTCCATGGCCGAGAGGGTGCTCGGCTTTTGTAGTGACTGCTCATAATTGGATTTAGGAGGTACTGTTTTGTTCCCTGGAGGAGCTGGTGCTCGGCCTGGTCCATGGCCGAGATGGTGTTCGGCCTGGTCCACGGCCGAGAGGGTGTTCGGTCTGGTTCATAGCCGAGATGGTGTTCGAGGGATCCAAGTTTGATTTCTAGACGAAGGGGGGTGAGGGTATCCCTTCGGTTTTGTCGTATTCGGCCTTTGACCGAGTCAACGGGGTTCCTATCCCGTACACTGCCCCCCCAAGCCCAAGGATGAAAGACGAAGGGGTTTTTGGCTTTTTAGGGTTTCCATACTCGCCTCGGGGGTCGTGTCATTTGGGTAAAAGTGACTGTTGCATGCGCAGCCGCCCTAGGGTTTCGAGCCTTTAGCTGGCGTCGCTTCAGTTGAAAGAGCATTAATTGGTGACTCTTGGGTGTCCGGGGTTTTTCCTATATATATGGTGGTAGGGCAAGGTCTTTGGCGTGCCATTTATCTTGAGATCCTCTGCCCCGACGCCCTCATCGTCTTGTCTCCCGAGTACGTCACTAAAAGGTAGGTATTAGCTTCTTTTAAATGGCAACCGAACCGATAGATTTGTCATCGGGGTCGTCCACGAATTCTAGGGTGTTATCAGTCGATGTTGAGGCCGAAGTGCTGGCTTTCAATGCCGAGGTCGAGGTAGGGGGTTCCCCTCACCTGAGGCTTAGTAATAATAGTGGGGAGTGTGAGAGTTCATCCGGTTCGGATATTCCGGATGCAGCGATGAGTCGTGAGGATTATAGGCACAAGTTTCCTCCTTGTGAAGTTCCCGGTTATGAATGGGTGGACGGCGAAGTGGCCGCCTACTTTTCTCGTTTTCATGCGAGGAGCGCCGTGGAGCACCTTGTCGGAGTGTGCACGTTGGCTCGGTGGGAAGATGCGGAGCCGTATCCGGTAAAGTTACGCCGGTGCCGGGCCGAAGGCCCTGGCGAGTTAGACCTTGTATTTCTTGCGAAGCAAGAGGGTCAAGTTGATTACTTTTACATGTATGAGTGTCTATTCCGGGAACTTGGGGTGTCGCTCCCTTTGGATGATTTTCAAATGGGAGTACTTAGAGTTTTGAACGTTGCACCGACCCAGTTGCACCCGAATGGGTGGGCGTACATGCAAGCATTTCGGGTGCTCTGTAAATACCACTATGTAGAGCCTAGCGTAGGTTTATTCTTGCACTATTTCTGTACTCGTCCTTCAAATAAATTTGTGAAATGGCTGTCTCTTATTCGGCATGCCGACCGGCCACTCATGAGGCCGTATACCTCCTCTTTTAAGGGTTTTAAGTCGGGTTTTGTAAAAGTGATGATAGATCCGGTTGCAGGCTGGAACTACTTCTTTGATGCCGAACGAAATCCTCTCTTTCCTTTATATTGGACCACGCAGCCTCGGAAGTATGACGAGTTTTCGTTGGAGATGTTGACCGAGGCCGAGGTGTCGGCCACAAAAGTTTTGAATGGATTACCCCAGGGGATCCCGGCCCAGTTTCTGGTGCTGTTGATGAAGTCGCCTCGGCCTCGGTTCGAATTGGAGGGTATGTAATGATTGTCTTGTTCGTTTGGTATTGTTAGGTTGATTTGTGACTTTTGTGCTTTTGTAGGTTGGATGGCTCAACAAGGTGCCGGCGTTTCGTATCGTCAACTCATGAGGAATCGTGCCCCTGCCGGTTCCTCTGCCGAAGGCCATAGGAATGTGGCTATTGATCAACGACCAGTTACCATGGCCGCGCCGGCTCCCCCTCCCCATGTCATTGCCCTTCCGGATCCGCATGGGAGGAAGAAGAAAGACAAGGGAAAAAGAAAAACCGATCCTTCTGCTGGGGATTCCAATCGGCCTAAGCAGCGATGGGTGGAGACCCCCTCAACTGACCTGGCCATCCCGTCGGCCATAGTGGCCAAGGATTTTCTGTCTGAGGAAGTGCGTCCGGCTCGGATGATGTCATCGGACCTGTTGTCGGACCAAGGCCACCGAATGCTTGATTCGGCAACCCCGTCGGCCCAATGGGCAATGGCGTGCGAGTTGCAAGTCCGGGCAACGGCTATTCTTCGGAAGTTGGCCCTAGAGCCTATGGCCGACGTGCATCATCTGAAGAAAAGTTTGGATGAGACTAAGTCGGCCCTGAATCAGTCCATTGAGGCACATGAGGTAACTTCTGCGGACAAGTTAGCGTTGGAGGCCGAGGTGGCCCGGCTGAAGGAAGCCTATTCGGAGATGGAAGGCCGAGCGCTTGCGGCGGAGGAGGCCGAGCGGCTGAAGGTCCGCGAGTTAGAAGAACAAGCGGCTCGGGAGCAACAACTTAAGGATGAAGCCGAGGCGGCAATGGCATCTTTTCGGACCGAGGTGGAGGGCAAGATTGTGAAGGAGCATGAGGAGGGGTTTTGGCATTGCGCTCGGCAAGCGACTCACTTCGACACTTTTCCTCCTGAGTTCTCCTTCGTACTCAACAAGGACTTTTTCCAGGGGGTGTACATGGACTATGCCGAGGCCGACCCCAATGCCGAGCCCGATGAAGCCGCTCCCCCTCGCTTAGCGGCCCCTGAGGACCCCGGCACCACCTTCAACGATGATGAGGAGACCGAGCAGACCGGTAACGCCGATTGAGGGATGCCGCGACCTTTTATTTTTTGAGGATGCATCTGTTTTGTTTAAGATGTACAGATTTAGGGTATAATATTATTTTTTGCTTAATTTCTTTTGGGCCGTTAGAGCCATCCTGCTTGTACCCTTCGGCCGACAGTGCCGCGTTGACCTTTTGAGTCTTAATGAATTGCTTTGCCCCCTATTCGAATTGTGTTTTATTTTCTGTTGCGCGCCTTTGTATGCAGCTTTTCCTTTTTTGGCCGAGAGAGATGACCGGGAATGTTTTAGGTCATGCAAGTGGACTCCTTTGTCGTGGGTTAGTCGGTCAAGGACTTGCTAATTAAACTTTGGCCGTTAGCGTGTCTCGGGAGAAAAGGCTTCGGCCATTGGGATCCCGGGGAGGGGGGAACTTAAGTTCAATCTTGGTCGAGAAGGATCTCGGGAGGGAAACATGAGGTTGCACCTTGGCCGAGAGGAATCTCGGGAGGGAAACTAAGTTCATCCTTGGCCGAGAAGGATCTCGGGGAGGGAAGTTATGTTCAATTTTGACCGAGAGAGATCTCGGGAGGGAATTTATGCTCAACCTTGGCCGAGAGAGATCTCGGGAGGGAGACTTTACGTTCAACCTTGGCCGAGAGGAATCTCGGGAGGGAAACTACGTTCTACCTTGGCCGAGAGGAATCTCGGGAGGGAAACATCACATTCAACCTTGACCGAGAGAGATCTCGGGAGGGAAGTTATGCTCAACCTTGACCGAGAGGGATCTCGGGAGGGAGACTTTACGTTCAACCTTGGCCGAGAGGAATCTCGGGAGGGAAACTACGTTCTACCTTGGCCGAGAGGAATCTCGGGAGGGAAACATCACATTCAACCTTGACCGAGAGAGATCTCGGGAGGGAAGTTATGCTCAACCTTGACCGAGAGGGATCTCGGGAGGGAGATTTACGCTCAACCTTGGCCGAGAGGAATCTCGGGAGGGAAACTACGTTCTACCTTGGCCGAGAGGAATCTCGGGAGGGAAACATCACATTCAACCTTGACCGAGAGAGATCTCGGGAGGGAAGTTATGCTCAACCTTGACCGAGAGGGA